GGTTAGACCTCAGAGAGAGGCCTTGGAAAAAACCCGGGTCCAGATCCTTGACCTGCCTGCTCCGGACTGTGGGACCTTGGGAGAACCCTGCATCTCTCTGAATCTCAGCCCCACCTTTAACAGGAAGGAGCAGGCTCCACCTCCTCTGGGACTTGTGTATGTGGGGAGCCCTGGCCTGTATTTCCTTTCTTCCCAACGCAAAACCTGGGTGTAGGGAGGAGGGCATATCTATCCCTTTTTACTGACTTTAGTATGATTATTTTAGCTGTAAGAGTATTTGCTGTGATGTGACAGACGTGCAGGAAAATGCTTACATGCGTGTTCACACATGTGTATGTACGGTGTCCGTCGCCAGGTCGAGTCATTCATTCACACAAGAAGTACTTAACCACGTGCCCAAAATGGAAGCCATCCCCACACGCCATGCTATTTTGAATTTCATTTTAAAAAATCAACTTGCAATGAATATTATAAAAATAATTCAGGTATTCTTGAACACTTTCAGTGGAAAGTTCTCACACAAAAAATGATTTAAAGCCTCTATAGGTGCTTCAGGTGTACAAAGGGTTAAGGTGTCAGGGACCCCTCCCCGAGGTGGGTTACCAGGCTAAGCAAATAAAAATAAATATAGGACATCGAGTTACATTTGACTTTCAGATAGACAATGAATGGTTTTGTTTTTTTAAAAATATATTTTTATTGATTTTGTACAGAGAGGAAGGGAGAGAGATAGTTAGAAACATCGATGAGAGAGAGTCATCGACCAGCTGCCTCTTGCACACCCCCTACTGTGGATATGCCTGCAACCAAGGTACATGCCCTTGACCGGAATCGAACCCGGGTCCCTTCAGTCCCCAAGCCGACGCTCTATCCATTGAGTCAAACCGGTTTCAGCTGTTTTTTTTTTTTTTTTTTTTTTTTTAGATAAGCGTGTCCCATGTAACAGAGTATCCTTTATTTTGTCTGGTGATCCCATAAGCCGGCTCCCTTGTGTTTCATCCCAGTCAACACCCCATCGTCCCCAAGGCCACTAGTATTCTGGCTCCCTTCACAGTAGATTAGTTTTGTCTGTTTTGGAAACTCATATCAAGGGCCTGGCACAGGGGACCCTGGCTCTGTGTCTGCCTGGGGGTCCATCACATGGTGGCCTGCAGCTCATCCTTTTTCATTGCCGTGCTGTATTCTGTTGTATGAACGAACCACAGTTTATTTTTCTATTTTCTCGTTGGTGGATCTCTGGCTTGTTCCCTCTTTTGAGCTACTATAAATAGAGCTTAATGGACATACCTTTCAGCGGCCACATGAACTCAGGAGTGAAATTACCTGGCCATTTTTTAGTTTTTAAATTTTCCTCTCAGACAGGGAGAAAGACACCCTCCCACATCAGGGAATACACCAAAGGCTTGCAGGCTCACATACCCCTGCCTGGCCTTATTGTTTTATGATTATTACTGTTTTGGTTCTCACCAGAGGATTATTATTTTTTTTCTCATTGATTTTTTTTTTTTTTTTTAAGAGAGAGTGGAGGGGAGGGAGGAGAGGGAAATGTTGATGTGAGAGAGACACATTGATTGGTTGCCTCCCACACATGCCCCATCCTGGACTGGGGATTGAGCCTGCAACTGAGGTATGTGCCCTTGGTTGGGAATCGAACCTGAGACCCTTAGTCTCCACGGGCAGATGCTCTAACCACTGATCAAACTGGCCAGGGCTGGCCTTATTTTTATTTCCTGGATGGAGGAAGGACTTCATGGACATTTTTGAGTTTCTATCCTCTCCCTAGGAGTACCATGTGTGTTTCTAATGTGTGAGCTTGCAAAGTTTTAGGGAATGTTTTTCCTTTACCCTTTAGCTCAGTGCCATATCTTTTTACTAATTTTTAGCATAGATAAAGCTGCTCTTCATCAATTACTAGCGTGTGTTTCACCTGTGGGTGGGGAAGCCCGGGTCCCTGTCCATATGAGGTGGGTCACAGGAGGCCCCCAGATTTTTTGCGGTCCCTCCCTGCTCCTCTCCCATAGCTTCCGGACCAGCCCTGCATTAATCTGGAGCACCTGCAGACACTCTGGTTGCCGTGGTAACTCAGGCTGGTCCAGGCACGGAGGTGGGGGTCAGTCCCTGCCTCAGGTGCAGCTTCCGTGTGGATTTGGGACAGTGGCGGATACAGGTGCTTTTGGAAAGTTCTGTTCTTGTTGCATTAACAGCAAGGCTTTCTGTGGCCTCAGGCTTAATGCTACTTGTTGTTTTTTTCTATTTGCTTTCTCTCATTGTCTTCTCTCGGAACCGCCTGTTCATGAAACCTGGCTGCTTCTAGGGGAAGCCAGCCCCACGGGCGTTGCCATGGCCCCCATGCTGTGGTTGGACAAACAGAGAAAGGGAATAGCACACCTGTCACGGGGCCCGGCAGGTGTCAGGGAGGGACACCTGGTGGGAAGCGCCTGCCGGCCAGGTTTGCTTCTCGTGTGTACACACAGGACAGCTGGGGCCCGGCGGCACTGCGGGCGAGGGCTCCGCAGAAGTGCTGGGTGGTGTTGTTAGAGCAGCTGTCCTCTCTCCCCTCGGCCTCCGGGCTCCACCCACCGGCTGCAATATCAACACCAGAGCCGGTGTGGACCCAACACTTCCCATGGCCCGCGCTGGGCGCCGGGTGCTGCCTTGTCCCTGGTAAGCTCGCCGCTCCTCTGCAATGGTATCTCCCCACGTTGTTCAGAAGACTCAGAGGGTGAAGTGATTTTCTGGGGGCCACACAGCGCGTTCGTTGGGTGCTGAGGTCAGGCCTGGCACCCGAATACATCTTCCTTCCACCCACACTTCATCCCTTCGGTACTTATTATAGAAACCCTGGACTTCAGGCAGCAGTTTGCAAAGTGTCTGGTGATGCTTTCCTGAGCCCATTCATTCATCCATCCATCCATCCATTCATGCAAGAAATGTTTGCTGAAACCGGTTTGGCTCAGTGGATAGAGCGTTGGTCTTTGGACTGAAAGATCCCAGGTTCAATTCCTATCAAGGGCATGTACCTTGGTTGCGGGCACATCCCCAGTAGGGGGTGTGCAAGAGGCAGCTGATCGATGTTTCTAACTCTCTATCCCTCTCTTTTCCTCTCTGTAAAAAAAATCAATAAAAATATATTTAAAAATAAATAAATAAATAAATAAATAAATAAATAAATAAAAGAGATTTTAAAAAAGAGAAGAATTGTTCAAGGGGTCAGGGACACAACGGCAAACAACACAGCACAAGACCCTCCCGCTATGGGGGGAGGCAGCTGTGACTCAATCCCCCACAGAAGTACCATTCCCAGAGAGGGACCACCCCCCTGGGGAAGGTCTCATTGGAGGGCGTGAGGGTGTGCCTGCGTTTAACTACAGCCCTGAATAACGAGAGGAACGTGGCTCCCAGTCTCCCATTGGAGACGAGGGGAACAGCATTCTGGGAAGAGAGAACCATAGATACAGAGTTTGAACGAGCTTGGCAGATACCAGGAAGGGTGAGGGGGGCAGTGAGTCTGAGCATAGAGGGCAAAGGGAAGGAGGGCGAGGCGGAGGTCAGAGCGGTGAGACAGCCCTGGGTGGCTGTTATTGTTATCACAGCGGCAGGGCTGACCCATGTTTCGGAAAGACCCCATGGACTGCAGAATGCAGGTTGGGGGCCGGGGTGGGGAAGCTGGCTGGCCTGGGGGAAGCGACCACCTGAGTGCAGGTGAGTGCTGGGGGGGGGGGGGTGCCGTGGTGGGAGGTGATGGGATTCAGGGTAAGTTTTGGAAGCGAGTGGGTAGGACCTGAGGATGGATTTGATCCGAGGAGTGAAGGGAAGTAAGGAGCTGTGAGTGACAACTCAGCTAACGGCTCGGTCATGAGCACTGCGAGCAGGTGCCGCACTGCAGGGTGGGAACTGCAGCCTGTGGCTGCCTCCGGAGATGGCACCTCCCCCATCCAATTCCTTTCCAGAACATGCTTCCATTCCTCGTCTCTGCATAGCCTTCCTGCTTTGCCCATTGCCCTCCTCGCCCCGAGAATGCCCATCCCATGGTGTGGGGGGCATTTGTCTGTCTCATTCACAGATGCCCAACTTGGGGCTGGCAAGTGAGTGGAACAGACACCAAGATCTTCTCGGGGCTGTAAGTTCCTCTGGAGTGGAGTATCCGTGTGAATTGGGCCCGTGTCCATGGTCTCTCTCCAGAAAGCCAGCTGAGGTGGCAAGAGCAGACTCCCTCGACAGATGGCCACACCCACGTGGATTTTATTTTATTTTATTTTTATTTATTATTTTTAAAAAAATATATTTTATTGATTTTTCACAGAAAGGAAGGGAGATGGATAGATAGCTAGAAACATCGATGGGAGAGAATCATCTACCAGCTGCCTCCTGCACACCCCCTACCGGAGATGTGCCCGCAACCAATGTATATGCCCTTGACCGGAATCGAACCTGGGACCTTTCAGTCCGCAGGCTGACGCTCTATCCACTGAGCCAAACGGGTTTCAGCCCCACATGGATTTTAAAGCTGAACCTTGACCTCGCCCTTCCCGTTTCCCAAGTGACTTTCTGGAGCTCACAGGACCCAGGGCCCCGAGGAGCCTACGGAGCAGGCTCCCGGCAGCCCACTTGGCAGAGGGGAACACTGAGACGCTGAGAAAGCCAGCGGCCCGCCCTCCCCGGCCGGCCCCTCTGAGGTGGAGCGTGTGTCCGGGGACACGGCTCGCGGTCTCTCCCTCCAGCCTCGGCGCCTGTTGCCAGGCAGCTCCTAAGAACTGGCTTTCCTGCCCGGAGTTGCCAAGGAAATACTAAGTCCCGGTGGGCTGGGCCTGGGGTGTGTTTTGACTTCCTGTGAAAGGCTGTCTGGTCGCCTGCACTGCGCTTTGATCTGCCTCCTCGCCTGTCCCCGTGCTCACTCTCTCTGCACCCCTTCACTCGCCCCCTCTCTCTCTCTCTCTCTTCTCTAGTGCCACCCTGTGCTGGAGGCCGAAGACCCCGAGATTTCCGAGCGAGGCCCATGGATGTCGAAGTCCTCCTGGGTCCCGGACCCCATGTTCTCCTCCCGTGGTTACTATGATGCCCTGCAGGACAGTGGCGCGGGGTCCCCAGATCCGGCCCCCGTGGGCACCCCCGGCACCCTGCAGGCCACACGGCCCCCCCGGATGAGCGGCAGCTGCGAGGGGCCCCCTCTGAAGCGGCGGGGCGGCCTGGTGGACCACCGGGATGTCATCTTGGCCCACCAGGCGCACAAAATCCACAGCACCCCCCAGGCCAGGAGGAAGGAGTGGGAGTGAGTATGCCCGGCCCAGGCCCTGGGGGGGGGGACCCGGGGCGGGGAGGCCACACAAGGGGTCTCTTGAAGTCGGGCACAGCTCATTTCTGACAAATTTTGGTGGGGGTGGGGGTGGGCAGGTGCTTGCGACTGGAACCCATTCATACGCTGTGCTGGCTGATGACACCTCACATTCCTTCCCTGTCTGTTGATTACTATCAGCTGCCTTACGCCCCCCCTTGGGAGCCCCTGGGATATCACATGGTATGGCAGCAAAGGGGTTAATTGTAGGTGAGGCGGGGTGTCCTCAGAGGACCCTGCTTGGGGACCTGGGAAGGGTTGGCAGATGATTCCAATGGGAGTGAACTTGCTGAGAAGTGCCACTTCCGGGGGCAGGGAGGGGGATGTTGGGGAGGGGGTAGGAGACAGGAATTGCTCCTTTCAACCTGTGGCTGAAAGATAAGTCTGTAATGCAGGTAACGAGGGGGCTGTGAGGATGGGGTGACTCTGGAGGCCCTGGTCCTGGCCCCCGTTTCTCTTTGTCCCCAAAGGGGATCCCCTCCTGGGACTTGCTGTGCAGACAAAGGCTGGGCTTCGCGCTGTCTCTCTCGCATCTCCTGGGCCAGGGCCTCCCTGGGCTCAGCCCCCGGGGAGATGGCCCTTTCTCGGCTGCCGGAGGGCAGGAGGCAGGTGGTGCGAAGGATCGGTTCTGGCCACGGAGGAAGGAGAGAGCCGGCGCCGGTTCCTTTCTCTTCTTCTCAAGAGTTTCTTTGGCAAAAGCTCAGCCGTGTGGATTCCCGGCAGAGATCAGGGGAGATGCGAACACTGATTTCAGGTCGATTGGGGCTGAGGCTGACGTGCATGCTGATCCCTCCCGGGACCCTGAAGCCCCTCTCCCACCCTCCGATGCTCCGGTCCGCCACCACACGGCTCTCCGCCAGGCTTCTCCTGTTCACCTGCTGGAGGGGGGAGCTGGGTTATGGATGCCAGTGGGGTTTGCCGTGCGCCGACGAGGGCTGTGCAAATACAGGACGCGAGGGAAACTGGATTACCCATGTGAGCCATTAAGATCTCAGGTTTTTGAGTGAGAAAGGTGGTGCCGGTTGGCCACTGAGGTGGTTTCCTGAGGTTAGCCTGACATCTGGTGGCACATTCCAGCATCATGTAGGAAGGGAATGGTGGGGACAGGACACTGTGGTCCTTCTGACTTTCTCCTCTCCACCCACCCATCTAGGCACCTATCCATTTGTCCATTCATCCATTCATCAGTCCATCCATCCATCCCTCCATCAACCCATCCATCTACCCTTCCTTCCATCTACCCATCCATCACTTCATACATAACTAGGGTGCAACTACATTTGTAAATACAATGCTAAACACTGTTCTCCTATTGTCCCCTCTCCAGGACTCAGCTTCTTTCTCTTCTTCCTTCTGTTTAGTTCCCACTTATGTCCATTCTCCTCCTGTTTTCTTTCATTTTTAAAAAAACATTTTTATTTATTTTTTACAGAGGAAGGGACAGGGATAGTTAGAAATGTTGATCAGCTGCCTCCTGCATACCCCCTAACTGGGGATGTGCCCGCAACCAAGGTACATGCCCTTGACGGGAATCGAACCTGAACCTTTCAGTCTGCAGGCTCAATCCACTGAGCCAAACTGGCTAGGGCATCATTTTATTTTTAAAAAGAAATTTAATTAGCTCCCTTAGAAACAGCAAGTCTTCCTGAAGGAATTAGAATGAATTATTTCCACAGATCCATTAGGAAGAGATTTTTAGGGGAGGAAAAAGGGTCAGTGAATTCAAGAAATAATAAAACACACCCTGTTTGCCCAAGGAAAATGATTAAGTATAATCTATATCTATCTATGTATATAAAAGGCTAATCGACCGTTCTACTGGTCAGGCTTTTCTGTATGACTTGCACTGACCACCAGGGGGTGGACACTCAATGCAGGAGCTGTGGAGCTGCAATGACTTGGCAGCAGCAGTTCTTGGAACCATAGAGGAGGGAGCCTGATTCCTCCTGGGCGATTCCACCTGTGAGTTCTGTTGTTGCTGGGGCACTGTCGGCCCCAAATCTGGTGTATTGCACCCTTGTGTTCCACACCCTGTACCACAGCACCTTTGCAGAGTGCCCGCTCCCACTCTGGGACCCCACAGGGGATGTCAGACTGCCGGTTTTAGCCTGATCTCTGTGGCCAGGCCGAGGGACCCCACCTGCCGGAGAGACCCCTCACTCCACAGATGCCCTTTGAGCCGTGGCACCAGGTGCAGCTGGCCAGGGAGGTTGGCTCCAGGGTGAGTTCGGTCCCACCTCATTCAGTCCCGCCCTGCTGGCCACCTCCTAATTAATGTCCCTTCAATGTGCACAAATCAGTGCACCAGGCCACTAGTTCATAATAGTAATGACAATTAATGCTTGTTGGGCACCAACTGTGGCCAGAACTTTATGATCTTGTTGCCCTTTCATAACTCTGCCATGCAGTAGTTATTGCCCCCAATCTGCAGATGGAAAAATGGAGGCTGAGAGAGGTGAGGTGAGTGCCCATGAGCTTGCTGTTATAGAAAGAGGTAGAACTGGGATTTGAACCCCGGGGGCTGTCAGACTCCAAAACTTGAGCTCTTAACCATTTGGCCAAAGATTTGCTACAGTAAAAGGTGGTAGGAACACACTTTCATATAATTCAGAAAATAAGGAAGTCAGTCATATCATGGAGAACCTGTTTAAGATGCCATTTCTGCCACAATCACCTTGAATGGCTAGCTTCTGCCTCAGTTTCCTATTCCCATCGCTTTTTAGGATCATGGAAAGACTTGGAGAATCTATAGCCATGATCTTCAAACTTCTGAACTCCTACCCCTATCAATAAAACAAACACATTTTCAGCACACCCATATTGTATATTTTTATTTATCAATTATAATTATTATGCTGAATTTATTACATGTAATATGAAAATATTAAGATGATGAGATATTAGTGAGTAAATGTTCTTAAAATTTTAAAATATTTTTTATATTTTTATATATATATTTTTATTGATTTCAGAGAGGAAGTGAGAGGAAAAGAGAGCTAGAAATATCAATGATGATAGAAAATCATTGATTGGCTGCCTTCTGCATGCCCCCATGGGGCGTCGGCCAGCAACCCAGGAATGTGCCCTTGACCAGAATCGAACCTGGGATTCTTCAGTCCATAGGCCGATGCTTTTTAAAAATATATATATTTTATTGATTTTTTTTTTTATAGAGAGGAAGGGAGAGAGATAGAGAGCCAGAAACGTCAATGAGAGAGAAACATCGACCAGTTGATAGGCCGATGCTTTATTCACTGAGCCAATGTGGCTAGGGCAACATGATTTTAATTTTTAAAATTTAATGATACAAACACTTTTGCCCTTGTGCTTTAACAGTTTGCCTTCACTTTTTTTATTTTTAATATATTTTATTGATTTTTTACAGAGAGGAAGGGAGAGAGATAGAGAGCTAGAAAAGTCGATGAGAGAGAAACATTGACCAGCTGCCTCTTGCACCCCCCCGCCCCCAAACGGGGATGTGCCCGCAACCAATGTACATGCTCTTGACCGGAATTGAACCGGGGACCTTTCAGTCCGCAGACCGACGCTCCACCACTGAGCCAAACTGGCTTTGGCTGCCTTCACTTTTTGAATACTTGTTTTGTAAGAGCATTTTATTCTGAAAGTGTTTGAATACATCAACAGTTGAGGGCACCATATGTCCATGCCCCCAGTTTAATAATTATCAAGATTTTGCCAGATTAGCATAATTAAGCCATTTTCTTCTTTCTTATTTTCTGAGCTATTTTAAAGCAAATTCCAGACTATATGTGGTTTTACCAACTTTAGGTTACACATCTAAAGCACATGGGCATTTTCTCACCCATACCACACTTATAAAGTTAACAATATAATTTTATATTAAATTTCCAGTCCACATTCAAATTTCCCTACTTGTGTTTTTATAGTTGATTTTTTTGAATCAAAAAGGTTTGTATATTGCATTTGGTTGTCAAATGCCTTTTCTTATTGTGGTGAAATATACACAACATAAATTTTATCATCTTAACTATTTTTATTTTATTTATGACTAGTGGCTGGTATATGAAATTCATGCAAAGGGTGTCCCTCAGCCCAGCCTGCATCCTCTCTAATCTGGGACCCCCTAGAAGGATGTCCATCTGCCTGTTTAGGCCTGATGGATTGGGCCTAAACCGGCAGTCGAACATCCCTCTCACAATCCAGGACTGCTGGCTCCCAACCATTCGCCTGCCTGCCTGCCTGATTGCCCCTAACCACTTCTGTCTGCTAGCCTGATCACCCCCTAACCATTCCCCTGCTAGCCTGATCAACACCTAACTGCCCCTCTTCCGGCCTGATTGCCCCTAACTGCCCTCCCCTGCTGGCCTGACTGCCCCCAACTGCCCTCCTCTGTTGTCCTGGTCATCCCCAACTTCCCTCCCCTGCTGTCCTGGTCACCCCCAACTTTCCTCCCCTGCTAGCCTGGTCACTCCTAACTGCCCTTCCTTGCAGGCTTGGTCACCCCTAACTGCCCTCCTCTGCCAGCCTGGTTACCTATAACTGCCCTCTCTGCAGGCTTGGTCCCCCCCCCCCAACTGCCCTCTCCTGCTGGTCTGGTCCCCTCCAACTGCTCTCCCTTGCTGGCCATCTTGTGGTAGCCATCTTGTGTCCACATGGGGGCGGCTATCTTTGACCACATAAGGGCAGCCATCTTGTGTGTTGGAGTGATGGTCAATTTGCATATTACCTTTTTATTATATAGGATTATTAAGTCTTCACTTGAGGATATTTTTCCATTGATTTTTAGAGAGAGAGGAAGAGAGAGGGAAAGACAAAAATATTGATGTGAGGAAAACACACTGATTGGTTGCCTCCTTCATGTGCCTCTACCAAGGGTCGGGAAGGAGCCTGCAATCGAGTATGTGCCCTTGACTGGAATCAAACCCAGGACCATTCAATCCACAGCAAATGCTCTATCCA